CAGCCGGATATTACTACTGTTAATGTATATGAATTTCTAACAAGGTACTTTACAATCTAGGCCTTACTTGGGGTGGAAATACCTAAAGTAGTGCTAAGAAACTGGAATACAGCCAAAGCTGTGTGAAGTTACTTCCTTTTGTTCACCCTGAATCTTATAAGCACCATCAGACATCTTGAAGAGTTCAAACAGCTTGATTGCAATCAAGAGAAAGTGCATTTCACACATCTTAGTTTACAGTAGTCAGTAAGATTAGTCCATGATTCCTAAAGGAAGAGACAATATTGGAACTGGGGAGGAACCCCACAGGGATAAAAAGATTATTAAATAGAATGAGTGAATCCATCCAATGTCGTTTTAAGTCTACTGAATCCTGCAGTTGCATGGAGTTGAAGACATCATTTCATTCCAGAATATCCATAGAAATTGAGGCTTATGTGTGACCACGCATTCTGATTTTTCACTTTAAAAAACTGTGTTGTGATCAACACTTAAAGTGCACTGATGATCAGAGTCCAGGCAATGTCCCCATTTTGACAAGACACCACTTTAAATCAAGAGTGAGGAGCCTCTGGTTTAGGGGCCAAATGCTATCCTTCAGGCCTTGTAATCCCACCATTGGCATGTGTGCCACGGAAGCTTGTCCATGAGAGAATGCACCCCTAAACCTGAAAACTCTCAAAGCAACCCTTTCCTCCAATGCTTGACAGGTCCTGCTTGGATTATCAGTCTTCTTTTATATCTGGCACATTGCAGTATTCTTTTCACGGGCTTTTTATCTTCAACTTCTTGTTTCTCTTTTCTGCCATTCAGCTTGCGGTTTTCTCTCACTGTTTCACAACCACATCTCACTTCTTTCTCCATTTTCGTTTTCCTTATCTTTTTCTAACAGAGCAGTTCTGTAAATGTCTACTTAAAAGTAAGCCCCACTGATTTCCTTTCTACACCTTTGTTCTGTTTGATCTCTTCTTCTTGTTCAATCCTGCCTTCTCTTTCCTTTTTCGTTTGTAACAGTTTGCTCACGAATCAAAGGGGTTTGAAAAACAATGAAAATAAAATCCCAAAATACAATTGTTGCTTGCTTGGCTGCCAGCCTACTTTATTCTCGGTTAACTTGTCCCCAACCATTGGGCTTTATTTCCCCGACTTGACCTGCCACTTATTTTATAATTTGCTAATTACACTACTATGTAAATGAAGTGTTATTCATTTTTTTACTGTTTAATCCCTGGCTTGTAATATAAGGTTCCTATGGGAGGTGAAGAACGAATGAAAGAATTCCCGCCACTTGTCCATCAGGATGTGATGTTGGAAGGAACTGGCAGTACTGAGGCTGTGGCTGATATAAAGCTTTCATCTGCTGGTAACTTCTGCAAATGTTTTCTTGTGTTGGGCAGGGTAGCTATGTGCCCTGGTACTTCTTGTTTTGTCCTGGTGATGAATATAACCAGAGAGCTAGTGTAGGGTAATAGACTTTGGGGGGGGGGGAATGTTCCCAATTTCTCAATCTCTTATCAAGTTCTTTGGATTTTACTGAGTGTAAAGATTTTTGGACAGGCCCTTAAAAAAAAAAAAAGAGTATCTAAATACATATTTTGTCTTAATACTGAAAAATGAAGTTTGACATAGTCCCTGCATCGTTCAAAGAGTTGTTCACCCAGCAAATCCAATGTTCTGATTTCATTTTGTTTAGATTATATACATGTTCTGGTATTTCTTCTACACAGGCTGGGTTGCAGTAACAGCTCATCTGAATGACAAAGTACATCTCAAATGCTATACTCCTGAAGGAACAGCACTGACAGTACGTAAACCACCTCTGTTGCCATACATCGTTCACATCAAAGGACGTCGTCTGCAACGAAGTGCAGCGTATGAGACTAAAAAACCACCTCCCCTTGTGGCAAACTTAAAGAGAGATGTAAATAAGAAAAAAAGGATGGGGAAAATCTAAGAAACTGTAGATAATGAAATCTCATTTACCCAAGGATGACACAGTGCTATTTGCACAGAACATACCTTTCTTTTCAGATTGTTTGTTGTAAAACAAGTTTTGTAAAAAAATAAATAAGGATTTAAAGTTCTAAACATGTTGTATCATTTATATGAATCACCTCCCTTCTTTGTGGCCAATACACATTTTCCTGCCACTTGTAGAGACCCAAACCAGAGCATAGCGGTACTGCAAAACAAGGCTCTAGATATCAAGCTCTGGGCTTGGCTTCCCAGCTATGTCATGTGCACCTAATTGCCTGTAGGTCTCTTTGTTCTCTGAGGGTGAAAGAAATGGAACGAGCAGAGCAGGCTGGGTCTCCCACCAGGAGGGAGGCTCCCTGACTAGGGTCAAGCAGAGTCTTGTATTCCCAGAGGGAAGATGGCAGCAAGCAGAGTGTGGGAGGGCTGTGTTGCTCTCCATTCCTGAAATGATGAAGTGCAGTATGTGTGTGGGCAAGAGCCCTTGAGGATGGATAGATGAACAAAGCAGGATAAAGAATGGAAGCTGTGGTTGTCCACTTTTCACGTTAGCTCTTAAACTCCTGTTCCAAGTTTTCCTATTCCGAAGGAACTAGCTCCTTTATGAAACATGGCAAGATAAGAGAAAATCAAGGGCATCTGTACATTCAAAGGATTCAAAACCCTGTCCATGTTTGAGCTCCATAAACTGGGGCAGTAGTACCTTGCTGTTATGCATGGAAGGGGGCACTGCGAGTAAAGCCTTCGGGCCTGTAACTCTGGCCTTGCTGACCCTTGTGTCAACGGTGATGTCTTGAGGCCAGGAAGTCTAGGCATCACTCAGTAAATGAAGCCTGAACAACAAATAAAGGGGGCTACAGCATTAAAATATTTTTAAAATCAATGCCCTTATTTACTGAGACTGGTGCTTCATGTACCATTACTTTCCCCCCTAAAAAAATGATGGTTGAGGACACTTGAAAGGGGCAGATCTTACTCTCCACTTTGATGCACAGGGGATGCAATTTGCTGCTGCAAAACTGCCTTTGCAGCATAAATTTATGGGCATTTTGTTGATGGCAGATACAAGTGTCAGTTTAATTCAGTCTCCTGGGATCATTAATCAAAAAATACTTCCCACCAGATCTTTCTCCATGACTTATGGGAACAGGTTGAGTGTTGTTAGACGTAAAAAAAATAGGAAGGGCGGAGAAGTAATATGGTTTTAACCAGGAAGGGACAGACTGCTGTTGCTGGGTCTGCAGTGGTATGTATCAAAGCATTTACATAGTAGTTCATTGTCCTAATGCAGTGAAGCATTGACAGCAAAAAAAAAGCCAAACCCGTCAGGACGTCACTCACTGAATTATTTTGAAATATGTATGACAGTAAATGAGAAGGTTGTTGATAACATAATCCAAAACTAACACCTTACCATGAAGACTGTAGGGAAGAGAACACGGTATTATTGAGACATGCATTTAGTCATGATATTTTTCTGCTGACTGGATGTATGTTCTGTCTGACAAGGCAGTAATTGAACTGAATGTACTGCGATTTTTCAGAACTCAACATTGCATAATGTTAGGACATCAAGAGGACTCATAATGTAATCCCACAGGAACAACAGAATATAGCAAATCTCACCCTTTTAAAAAATATATATATGTATGTTTATTGTTATTATGGTTGTGAATATCTGCTTGGAAGATTGCGGGTAGTGCCTGCTGAAAAATCAGAAGGCAGAATTGCCATGTAAGATTTCTAAGATTCAATGCAATCCATAGTTTCTTGTCCTTCCTCATCACTAAAGAAAGCCAGTATGTTATGCAAATATGCCCTGTTCTGCATAAATTTATACAGACTATAGAATACAGCCTTTATTTTTCAAGCGTGGTATTGGATTTCAATGTGCATCTCATCAGTGGGAGATTTCTTAAGACACAAACTTTTGTTTCTTCATTTTATTTGTGGGCACCAGCTTGCTGGAGACAACAAGGAGAACAAAGTATACCATAGCTTCATTTGCTAAACGAGACAAGTTTTAATCTTGATATAATCTGAACAGAGTACCAAATGATTGTGTTTGCAGGTATCTGGCACCACCTTTAGAGCTCCTGAAGCACTGACCCAAAATATTTTAATGAAGAAAAGTCTTACAGATTTTAATGAAACTTTATTGTATTTTGAACTGGGGCATTTAGCCAGGCAACTGCTGACATTGGCAGCCACTGCTTTATAACTGGTGTTATTTTAACCTTCACGGGATTGCAAAGTTCTTAAATATGCATTCTATACTCTTGTCCACTGCCAGCTGTCTATCAAGAAATGCCTTCAAGGATAGGGGTGTGTGGAAATATCCCCTTATTTATCTATCTACTGAATTCATTTCCCACCCTTCTTCCCCAAGGAGCTCAGGATGGCAAAACATATCAGTAATAAAAATAGAATTAAATATAATTCAAGTATCCAAGACGCTGGGGAAATTACATCTTGTATTGCTCTAGCACAGCTGTCATTCAGTTTACTGCTTCACAGGTAGCAAGACACAATTTCTGCTACAGAAATTGTCTCCTACTTCAATAATGTTGATTATCTGACAGGTGGAATATCAAAGAGGTTGGAAGAGCCCCAAAGATGACCATGGTCCCATCACATCGCCAATATAGATTTTTATGCATGCATCTTGTGGCCCTTTAGCACAGGAGAAGACCAACTGTGAAGCTTGTAGGAGCCACTTAATTTTTTACTAAAACTCTTAAGAGCCAACAATTGGGGTCTGGTTAATTCATATTCCAGGAATTTGTTTCAAGTATTGGATCTGAATTCAGGTTATCACAGTCCTTCCACATATCTCTGCCTCTCACCAATTTAGGGAGTTATTTTCTTGCCACCGGTAAGCAACTGGGAGCAAGAAAGCCTTGTCAATCCATTTCAAATCACCCAGAGATCAACCAATATATGCTGCTCTTAACTTCTATCCACCCATTCCATAGCCAATGGTATTATTTGCTGAATATTCAGAAAAGACAGATGAAAGATACACATACTCCTTAATAAAGTTTATTGACATAACTATGCTTAGGAAAATACACTCATGGGTTAATATGCAATTTAGTTTAACACCTTACATTTTGGACAAAGGCTTGTACATAGTTTAGGTAAATAAAAAACCCAGGATATGTGATCTTTTCTGATTTTACATCTATTACAAACATATAAAAGCTCTTCATGCACTACAGTAGAGAGAAAGCATGAAAAAAAATTACCTTTGGTTTAAATTGACAGAATAATACAAGTATTGCACTGTAAAAAGCTTCAAACACGGTGCAACCAAACATAAAATGTTTCAGTGCCAGCTTACAAAAAGTTCTTTAGCTAGTGTGATTTGCTTTTTAGGGGAGGAAAAGGTATATATACACATGTGTGAAACAATTTCTTAAACTACCTGGATGTAATTAATATTGTATTTCAGCTTGTTAGCTACACAATCAAGATTCAATAAACCTAACTGAACATGTGCTTACATCAGCAAAACAATATACTGAAATCAAAGGCATTATGAGTATTAACTGACCTGTCAGTTTGTTCTGTAGAAAAGATTTAAAGTTCCAGCCCTTAGGTCAATCAATCCCTAAATAGCAGCAATATTAAGATGTGTTGCCAAGTTCCTAGTAATCCATTCTTTAGGCTACTTTTCCAAAAACACTATAGATTCTACTAACTAGCCACACTGTCAAACAACATGAGATAATGCAGGATGTATCAGGCTGGGGTGTTATGACAGGCATTGCTGCTGAGAGAAGCCCTTTAATAAAGGAAGACGCTGGAAAGGTGTATCCAAAATTCCTGTGACAATCTCAAAATTCAATTTAAGAAATATCTACTTTAGGCAGAAACACAGTAACTCATCTGTAGTCTAACCCTAATTTCACTAATCCGCTTGCAACATCTAACATTAAGACAGGAGTGACATTCCATCTTTTACCAGTTTTATTTTTAAACTGTTCAATCACTATAGGTACCGCCTTCTATTCTAACAGAATAGGGGAAAGCATACAGGAATTTCAAGTCAATCACAATATCCAATATATCTCAAGACACAACAATTACATCGGTGGAAGATATTATTTTAATACTTAACAGTTTGCCCTCTCAAGCTCAAAAACACTACCCAACACAGGTACCAACTTCTACTGTCTTTTCTAGTGTGAAAGTTTTACTCCTGATCATTTGCTAGTAAGATCTTCTGAGTAACATGACAGCATTTTCTTGTAATGTGAAGTCATCTAATGTCATTACTGCTAGTGACACCTCTTTGCCTCAACCTTTTCAACCAACTTGGTTTTTTAAAAAAAATCACAAAAAATGTAGCTTAAGGCCACAAAGGTTTTTACAAAGTGGAAACATCTCTTTTTAAAAAGGCAGAGAGAGAGAAAAAAAAGTCTACACTGTACTGGAGTTTCCAACCTCTGTCCAAACCTTTTACAAAACAATATTTTACAAAATGACAATATTTTACATCCAACAATAAAGTTGTGTTTAATACTATTCCAACTAATTGGTTAGGAAGACAATTCAGCAGTGTTTAATGGTTCAACATAAATATAGTTGCAACTTGATTCTCAGTTGACAATGATTGTCACAGCCAAAGTATTCAACACAAGCTATTCACACACAAATAACCAATGTTACACAATTTATTTCTGCCCTAAAGGGATTTTTCTCCCTCAGATCTTTGGCCTCCTATTAGAAAACTCCCCCCACCCACCCAACCACTACACAGAAGTATTAGGTTCCTGTATTCAGTCAAGTTATATTGAAAAAGAACCACAAAAGGTTCTAGCAGAAAGGAGGAGGAAAAGAGACCGAATACAGCTTAAACTAATGCAAGTGTTAGCAGTCTCCAAGACAAAAGAATAAAAGAGTTTGCTTTAATATTTATGCAGCAGGTCAAAAAACTATCGTGATAGCCATTCTGAGGCACAGTTTAGCAGGAAGTTCTTCTGCGCAAGCCCCAAGAAGTAAACAAGAGCCATGCCAGAATACACTCATGGGGTTTGTCCTGGAGAAACGTCCTCCCAGATCAGCCTTTGCCTACCTGGTGCCGTCCAGGTGGGAGTGGTAGTACATGGCATGGAAGGCATCAGATTGGCAAAAGCTGCTGGGATGGAATGTGCCCTTTGGAAGTGCAAGCTTCCATAGATGTTGCTTTGCAGGACTGCAGGTGGCATTTATATCTACAAATTTAGGAAAAACATAAATCTGAAGGGGGATAGATGCAAAAGACCTGCAGTTTTCTCACTGCTCACACATTCCAAATGCCTCAAACCTTATTGATAACAGACTTGCTTTACTTGTGACTTTTCTCCCAGTGTTTGCAAATTCATAATATATCCAATCATTTCAACTCCTTTTTATGTCAAGTATAAAAGTATCAGGGTAATTAATTTAAGTTAGAACTTGATGGAATAAGGATCAGGAATTTCTACATCTTCCCTTATTTGTTGCTTTCCAAGATCTTCCCGATAGTGTTGATCACTTCAAATTCCATGTATTATGTAATTGCCAACATTTGTCTTTGTCAAGCAGATAAGGAGCACGACACACCTGGAAATTCTCCTGCACAGGACCCTCTGAAATGAGTATGAGCTGGGCAAGAGTACTTGCAAATTTTAAAATTCACGTGTACTTTTAATGGATTTTTTGCTCTCATTTGACTATTCCATGCTTAGAACTCGACAAGCACCATCCATTAACAAATTAAGTTTCCTATGAAATTTCACATGCATGCCCCTATTCATTTTAATGGAGGGCAGTGAAAAGTTTCTCCCAGCAATAATAAATGCACTAAAACAGCAGAAAGTACTGTCTGCATAAAAATGCATACTATATGAATATATTATCCAACCTTATATACAGAGATATGTATGAACAACCTTCTTGGGGGCACAATCTACTGAGAAGTTCCCCTTTCACAATGGGAGCTATCCATGAGCAGTAATTGGTTCTTAGTGTGGTCTGTGGGATGACATTCCTTTAGTATCATTTGTTCCAAAAATCAAATAATTAAAGCTACAACACTGCACAAACTCAGAACCAGAAAATGTGGTCAAGATAAACAACACTGGCCACAATAAGCAACAAACCTGAAAGTCAACATTACGGGAAGGAAACCCATTAACAAAAACCAAACATGCATATATAAAGTGTTCATATACACAGAAATAACTAAACTTCTAAAGGCTTAAACTGCATAGGTAAAAATAAAAACAATTATGTGCAACATTTTTTCATCTCTTAAAGCACAAGAAGAAATAAGAACCTTGTCAAAAAGTAGTATTTAACAAATAATGGATTCACTAATCAACAGAAAGGTAGAAAGAACTCCCAAGATTTTGGCTTGCTGATCATGATTGGGGGACCTGAAATGTATATGCAAATTAAATATATGATCATGCAATTATGTTTTCTGTTAGCCAACCTCAACATTTTTCTGAAAGTGCTCTTTTTACAAATAATCTGCCACAGTGAGTTCTTTAAGCATTCATCATACCAACAGGTGAAAATAAAAAAGGCAGATTTTTCTAGAAACAATTGGAGCAATATTTCAATTTCTAGGAGTTTATTTCTATAACACTTTGTTCAACAAGCACAGATGGCCTGTGCACTTGTCACATTGCAAGGAATTCTTAACCAGGGATGAGCCTGATGGTCTCACACCCAAGACTCTCATCCTTCCGAACAAGGAGGAGGACAAGAGTGAACCAGACTGTGCTGTTTACTGAAGACATTATCTCCCTAACCACCCAATCCGTCTTCAGAAAACCCCCATTCACATACAGCTAAGTATTCTGAATATCAGAACCACAGGGACAGGACCAGTTACTGTTTACTTCCCATTAGGGGGTGGGAAAACTCACACACTTGGCCTTACCTACACTGCAATGGTGTAGAAATGGAATATGGGGAAGCAGTTCCACATTGTGGCAAATGTATATAAAACAGGATCAAATAAGGGGTCTTGAATGGGTGGTCAGGAAGATACCACGTTCAAATAAATGCTGATTCACCTTCGACTTTCTCCTAGCAGTAAAGGGGAAAGAGAGAAGGAGCACATGTCTCATACCAGGCTGAAATATCTTCCTGGAATGTAATGACTGGACAGGCCCAGACTGTGGGCTCAGTCAACTGTTACTATCGCCTGCTCAAGTCCTATGGAAACAAATAGGACTCTGCAACAGCACAACAGTGCTCTTGCACACTTCTATTTTATTTTTTTTTAGAATCTGTGCAGGAGACACTATTGGTGGATTGTTCCCCAAGGCTACATTTCTAAACCTACTAACTTGTGAATAGTTCTGCTTCAAGTCAACAGAAATACTCAAGAGATTCCAGGGCTCTATCCCAAGGAGTTCTGCCAATTTAACAAGCCACAGCATGCATACCCTATTTGCCCTCTCTAATCAAAGAGATACAAGTAATTAATTAGTTCAACATTTCATCAAAGGTCAGAAAAAACACAACCAACTTTAAAAAGTATAAGCAAACTGAGCTTAAGCAAAGATTCTACAAGAACTGGTACCTAAGCTCTAGAATAAACTGTCATGAAACTGCAGTTTGGTTAATCTTGCCCCTTTGTTGCTTTCTCAAGATAGTACACATTTACTAAATGGCGATTCAGGTGCTTACTGTATTCACCTTCCTTTTTAAATGAACGATCGCAGAATATGCACACATAGTTCTCCTTTGTGGCCTTGGCTTCTGCCACTTCTTGGGGTGGTTTCTGGTCTTTCTCCTGTGCTGTCCGAGCACCATTTAAGCCAGAATCATCACTGCCTTCTGATATGTTGTCACTTATATCACTGCCTTCGTGACTGTGGATGCCTTCATCCTCTTCCATTTCCTGATTTTCGTTTACTACTGTGCCACTGGACGATGCTGAAACCAGGTCTGCTTTCGTGCTCTTCTCCAGTTTTTCTGGCGACAGTGGTGGAGGAGCTTCTGCTGAGTCTTCAGCCTGCAATTCTTTTGTAGAACTGACATCTTCTGGAAGTGGGTTACTCACAGTTTCTCCCTCACACATTTGTTGTACCTCTTCAGTTTCTTGTATTGGATCAGGATCAGTCACAATCTGCATCTCACAAGTTTCTGGGGTTTCCGTATTTTGGGACAAATCAGGTAAAGCATCTTTTAGTACGCCTGTCTCTTTTTCAAAGGTGGTATTTGAGTCCTCAGACCTGATACAAGGAATGACTGTCAGCTCAATTTCATTCTGAGAAACTGCTTTAATTGTCTCCTCTTCTGCCATGGGCATTTCTTGCTCTTTCACCTCTATATCCATAGCCTTGTGCTGAGCAGCCAGTGACTCATGATCTTGCATGTTCTCCACAGGAACACACTGGCTCTCTCTAACATCAAGGGTAACAGTAGGCTGTTCATTGCAAGCATTATCAGTTACCTTACTTTCCTCCTCTTGTATAGCAACAGATTCTTTAGAGAACGGCTCCTCATCTGTGACCTTCGCACAATCAAGCTTTCTGTTGTTCTTACCAGGCTTACTCTTCAGATATTTCTTTTTCTTGTTTTTCTTCAGGCAAGAATTTTGCTTTTTGGTGACTTCCAACTTGTTTTCACTCTTTTGAGAGTCCTGACATTTAGGGGACATTTTTTCAGTTTTCTTTTTCTTCTTCACTGTAACATCAGTGTCTGCTGCAACATCTTTTGTCAAAGGAACAGGGGTGGCATCAGCTTTTCTCTTTGCTTTCTTTGTTTTGCCAGATTTCTCTGTCATTTTCTCAGTTTTCACATTTGCCTCTTTGCTTTCAGCAACGGTTTTGCGACTTCGAGTTGTTACGTGGCCTATACCAACACTGCTAGTTGGTTTCTTTTCTTTTGACAGGTTCTCTTCTTTTACAGTTCTCTCACTTTTCTTTTCAGTCATCTCTTTCTTTGCCTGTTCTTGTTCCACGCCCTTATTATCACCACCCACGTTTTCAGAAGTATTCACTTCATTCTTTTTAGTTCGTAGTCTTACTTTTGAGACATCCATTGTGATGTCACAACAGTCAGGGTGCCTGGATTTGATGTGATACTGCAAATTACACTTCTTGGATGCAGCATACTCGCAGACTGGGCAAAGGAACTGCCGTGGGCTGACATGGAGTTCAACATGCTTCTTGAAGTTGCTTCGGTCAGCAGTTTTGTAGTCACAATGCGGGCAGGCCAGCGGTTTGGGCCCATCATGAACCTGCCTTGCATGCCGAGTCACTTCATGCTGGTTTGATGCCACATAGCTGCACTGCTCACATTTAAACGGCTTCTCACCTGAAGCAATCAAAAGGGAAATTACCAGTGATTAAATTACAAACAGCAACTTATTTGCACAGCTACAGATTTATACAGTTGCGCATGCTTTTGCATTTCTCAACTTAAAAAAAAAAAAAAGATTTTACAGTTAACACATTCACAAAAGACAGCAACAAACCAAAAGAAAGAAACAAAAACAAACATGCAAGCAACAACTAATCCACATATTCCATCTATGATAAATACATACCAGGAAAGATCAGTCTACAGTAATACTAGCAATTGGAATCCAAACCAAACTGGTCCACTGAAGGCAGTGTAGAAAAATGGAAATTATAGATGAATAGTAGGCTTACACAAATATTACACCACACCCATATAACCCAGAACAATTATTTCCTCAAAAAGGTAAAATGTTTCTGCAGTGCTACCACTCCACCCCCAACCCAGACATAATACATAGTTCCAGGAGAAAAATACAAACTGACTGGGTGATCAGCAACTCTTACTTGAACATTAAATGTGAGTGTATACTAACAATAAAAACAGATGTCAGTCATTAATATGTACAGCAGCAATCAACTTCACAAATTACATGCATGGAGGGGTTAAAATTCAATGGCTGTTTCAAAAGTTGTCACGAATGCAGGAAACACATTAAAAGTCATGTAGATAAGTGACAATCACAAGAAAGTTTTGAAATGTGAATGCTCCAATTCAGCAATGCCCTCTTCTATTCTGCCCCAACCCCCACTTTTTTTGTTTAACACTCCCAGAACATCAGCATTCTGTAATTCAATGAGCATTGTTCAGTTCTCAATGGCATGCATTTGGGTTCCCCACCTTTGGGGAGTATCGAAGGTTTTTTGTATAGTACTGCAAAGCTTTGCATTTCCCCAAGAACTGCTGGTTTATTTTCCTCTTCTGCATGGATGATGCTTTGATGAATACTGGAAACATAGGTAACAAGTGGGGAAGGCAGTTCACTCTGTATATTGGGGGGGGGGCTTTCAAAGCTCTTTCTTATCAGCCAGGAGACTGCCCAGAATGAAAATATAAATAGCAGGGATTACAAGTGCAAAGCATCCAGCTAGCCATGGCTGTTTCCACAGCCAATGTAAGCACACAATTAACAACTTGCCTACAGGCTGTTTTAGGCTTAAACCTTTGGCGGTCATAAACAGACTACGAATTTCATTCTGCCAATCCCTGCACTGACATATCAGACATTTAACGAATATAGCCACAACCTTAACCACCACAGCTCTCTTGAATTGCCTTTTTACCAACCTGAATGCGTGCGCATGTGCCTGGTTAAATGAGTCTTCTGAGAACTTGAATAAGGACACATGGAACACCGATAGGGACGCTCTCCTATTAAAACAGATACAATAAACACAAATTAAAAATCCTTCAATTGTTCATAGAGGATTGAACTGCACAAACACACAGACACACACGAGAGCACAAAATAACTGAGCTGGATGATTTGGTGAGAGAAAAGTGGCATAAAAATGTTGTTTCATCTTAAAACCGAACTAAGATTTTGGTTTAAACATCTTCCTTCCTTGTCTAATATACCTGGCAAATACCTCAAATATAAATTATCCCTAAAATAACTAGCATCCTTCACCTAAAAAGTAATTCACCTGCTCTTGAAATACGATAGAAACACTAAATGAAACCAAGGTTAACTGTTTTTTAAAGCCTCTCTTGCAGAGGTGCGTGTGTGTGAAACTATTTTATAGTTTGCATTTGGGTTGAAGTGATTTCTATCCATGATATTTGTAAATTTTACAACAACTCTAGAAACAATCTAGGGTTTTTTTATTCCCATATTGCAGATATTGTTGCTGAAAAATAGCTGCTTGTCTAAACCTGCCTTGTAATTCTTGGCTGAAGCAAGATTTAAACCAGGGAATTCCTGCCTCCCATTCTTAGCTAAACATCTACAAATGCAATCCTCAACAAGTGCAAGCGCCCCTGAACTCACAAGGACACTCTGCAACCTCCCACATACTCTTACACAAAATAAGCAGCAGCAAAATTCTCTCCCACCATTTCCAGCACTGCTGCTCAAATTACAGAAAATTCCAGTTCTCCCTCAACTCCTTTTGCAAGGTCAGAGGGGATGGAGAGGGACTGTGTTCTCTCACACTTGTCCTGAGGTCCGATAGAAGGTAAATTTTTTGAGGGAAACTGTCTGACCTTGGTGAAGAAATCAAAAATTGTAGCTACAACAGTCTCTCATCTTCAGGTAACCCCACCCCCATTTCCCCAAATCTTTTCCCTTGGGCACAACTGCTTCAATGCAACCCTCCTCCCCATTTGTCTTTCCTGTGTCAGAGGCCAGTAGTTTGCCCTTCTTGACCAAGGCTATCCAGGCACCTTGGCCAAACACCTGTACATCTAATTTTCAATGGGAGACACTTAAACAAGTACTTCACATTAAAATGTACTGTGCTGAAGTTTGGCTGGATTATACTCTAACTCAATGACCTCTAAAAGGTGTTATGGGACCCACTACCAGGTGGTAGCCTAATAAAATTTCTCCTAAAAACTCAGTTTCTATCAGACTTTTGCTAACATACGTTTTTGACAGTCACAATGAAACTGACTGACTGTTCCTATTGTTTATACTAGGGGTCTCTAACCTTTTAGGACATGGAGTTTACAGCTGTAAACCTAATGAAACTGTTGAGTCCAACACAAAATACTGATTTCATGGGTGGATGGCAGAGGAAAGGGATTGATGTTCAGATTTCTCCCCAGAAAAACACATACACAAAACAAGTATGACCAGAGACAATAGCAGGCAAGTCAAAATGAAACAATCCCCCAAAAAGCACAACAAACAGACAAAACTCAAATTTAAAAAATCAAAAATCATGTAGGAGGGAAAGGGGAACTGTATGGGCACAAAAGGGGAGTGCCTGAGGGCACCATAGTGCCTGTGAGTGCCACACTCTAAGTATACAAAGTTGTATTGGGGTGTCTTTCTTCTCCCCTTCACTCTTTTAGTTGCAAATCTAGTATTACCACTTATTTGGGGACAGAATCAAATGATTTAAAAAATACAACTTACTTTTTTTTTCATTTAGCAGAAACTGGCCAGCACAAGGAAAAGAGATCACAATGAGGAACAGAATTCTGCACATATATCCATAACTCAACTATTTATCACATTATGTCTGGTACAAGGTTACATTCTACATAGCATTACTGGAGTGGATATGTATCTAAGCTAGAGTGAAATTCTGAAGTCTTTTAGATGGAAGAACAGGGGCTATACACCACTTGAGTCTAAGATCACTAGAATATGCTACTGAACTTCAAGCACTTCCTTTTGCCTAATAATTCAAGCATGCACATGCCTGGCTTTCACTCCTGGCACCGCTGCAGGTTGTGTCTCCACTAATTATGACTAGTCTGTTTTTCTGCCCTTTTAACAATGGTTTCATACGCAGAAATCTATAGGTGAAGATATTCACAGCAACCTGGCAATTTCTGCAATAAAGGGGTGAGGATGGGATTCAAAAGTGATCAACTACACACTCCATTCCAAGCAGAATACAGTTAGGGGAGGAAGAATGCTTTCCTGCAGCACCTAATGAATCTGCAACATTGCAAAGGAACAGCAAGATGGTCTCAGTTTCTGAACATATTAAGTAATCCACTACAGCCTCACAACTCCTTCTGTAAAAAGAAAAAAGAAAAAAGTCTGCCACCTTGAAAAGAATCCAAGCCTGAATCATGACGGTTGTTTCTGCTCTATTAATGCAAAATCTGAGCAAAAGTGGCAAAAGAATGCAGGCCACCACTGCACACTATATATAATGAAGCTGAAATTCCAAAGCCTGGCAACTTGTGCTGGCTTGAATTCTCTTCATCCGTAGAACATAATTACATCCAATACTGGATTGAAATCCCTATCCACATTTTTTTTAAAAATATTCAACTGCTATATCCTGATTCTAGAAGTGCACTTAAATTGCTGTGTCACATCAAGTCTCATAGTTGCTAAAGCCCGATCCTCTGCTTGGCAGGAGAAGCACAGCCACAAAGCTTCCTTACTTGCCAAACAGAACTTTCCGAATTGGGGGGTGGGGTGGGCGTGCGGAGCACAGAGTTGCAAAAATATTGAGGCAGCTGGAAGGATCCAACAGCCATTTGGATGCCACCTCTGTGAGCAAAACTGGGCCTGCCCCAACTAGTATCTGGTCCCAATGATTGGCTTGGGATGTGGATTAGGCCAAAGAATTCATAGAAAAATATGAGGTTTGAGGGATGCTCGTCATTTTGGAACTGCACTAATCTTCCACTACCACTAGGCCTCTTAAGCTCAGCCCCAAGAGCAGCTACAAGCTTAAATAGCTCAACTACCACTGTCACTTTTAACTCAAACAAATTGTTTCTGACTTCATTTTAAAATTAACTTCAAAAGCCAAGTCTACTCTTAGTGATTTCTGGCAATTTTGTTATTTTCCTGTTCTGCATTTCTTCAAAAAAATAACTTGGACACAAATGTTTTGCGAGGGTTTTATACAAACAAAACAAAAAGGTTGAGCAGAGAAAAACAAATCAGCTGACTGTGGCAAAGTATTTTCAAAAGCAAAAACCACCATTGTTCCCTTACTAGAGCTAATTTTCAGTATATAAACATCTATTTTATTGGTGATTATTTAAAATTTGATGGGAGAAAATTGTAATTCTCAAAATACACTCATTCTCCTAAAACTATCAGTGAGGATCAGCAAATATCACCTCCCCTGCCACAAACAGATGTAATGAATTGTGTTTAGTTTTATTGTTTTACCCATCAGCTCTAATGTAAAACACAATACTCCTGGTACACATAAGCCAATCATTTAAAATCAGAAAGTGCTAGTTTATAGCACAATTTATAACATGGTGGCAAACAAGTGCAAACGCACTCAAATCCAGCACACCCAAGTCCACTGCAAACAGCCAAACCTAAGAAACAGATACAACACTCACCTGTATGAGTTCGAATATGTTGCACATAGTTGTTCTTACGGTCCGAGAAGTAGGAGCATTGTGAGCATGTGTACACTTTCCGTGGGAAATGGTTTCTTAAATGCTTCTTCCAGTGATATTCACTGACAGTTGTGTATGTGCAGATTGTGCATTTGTAGACCCTCTCATTTTCTCCAGCTTTGTTGTGGTGCTTCAAATGAGCCAGATAGTGATCATACCTGTTAGTGTTGTAGCCACAGCGATCACATCTAATGGGGCCCTTGGAGAAATCAACTTCATCTGTAGCACTGGAGGCAGCTTCTTTAACTTGGCCATGCTTCTCAGCTTTTTCTTCCACAATGAATCTCTTGGCACTGTGTACCCGAATGTGATGGACAAACTCCTTCTCTGACTCTGCCTCATACTGACACGGCTTACAGCGAAATGGTTTGTTCTTCAAGCTCTTACATTTGTCATCTGCACTCTCTGGCGTATCTGCCACCTCCAACGGGTAGCCCTTGTCTTGGCTGCAAGTATGCGGAACAGAAGGCTCCGTCAGTTCTGCCATTTCCACATTACGAACCTCAGGAGCTTCAAGGGATCCAAGATCCACATCTTCCAGGCGCCTATGGTTGTTCTCCATGCCCTGTGCTTCATCTATTCCTTCTCCATCGCTGTCTGAAAAGTTGGCATTGCCGACGGTTGTCAGTTCAGCCATTTGCCTCTCTTCACCAACCATGTAATCACAACAGTTGCCATTCACTTCTCCTGTCAGGGCCACATTTGCCAGCATAATAAGCTGCGGAGCTGCTAGCTCAGCTTTGGAAAGTTCCGAAAAGTCATACATGTCATTTGGCAAAGCCATGCCAAGGTTAGTATTTCCAGGGAACAGGCCACTGCCACCAGACTGCCCCAGCACTTGCATTGCCATATTAACAGTTCTGTTAAAAAGGGAGGGAAAGATTGTTTAAGTGTCTGTCTATAAATTATTATATAATAATCCAAAACTGAGAACAGTGACAATTTAATTACGATACTTATCTCGATTAAGAGAAATTATGGTCAAATATGGCCACATTTTCCACAAAGACAAACTTTTAATTGCATCATGATTTCATTTTATAGCAAAGTGTCAGCGTCCTTCCCGCCTAGCATGCTCCCAGGCAAGGACTTTATATTTCAAACGAGTTGTTCACATTCAATCTTTCTGTGTGCAGAATTGCCATGCTAAATTCCACAATTGTATTTGTTCCAGTTCCAGTTATTCTGCCGCTTGCTGTCCACACCAGTGCCCTTCACTACCTATTTCTGTACCTGCACACACACTGCATTAAAATAGATCCACTGGGATTTCTTTAATACTAACGTCTTGCACAATAATTGTATTTGGCGGGGGCAGGTGGCTGTATCCAAAACAATTTGGAATGTCCCACAGTCCCTTTTTACTCTTAAAAGCACAAGCACACTTTCCCCAGACTGCAAAAAAAATTGCAGCAGCAATGAAATATTTCAATTATGATAAAGAGTTATTGTGCAAAGCCTATGTATTTTAATGTGTGGAGATCTTCAGAGAACAGCTCCTTTGAACTGGGTTGCTGAAATTCAAGCACATTTTCAGCATGCAGCAATTGGTAGAAATAGGTCTTTTTCATTTGGTATTGTGGACCACAGAGGAAAAATAGCTAGGTTTGGCTCAGGTGAGGAGCAAATGTGCATAGTGGCCATCCAACGAAATGTCACCACACATGAGAAACTTCTTGACAAACCACCTACCAAAAAGTGTGCTAAATGAGCTTCTATGCCAGTGGTGACTAGGTATGCAGCAGGATATACAGTATATATTTTTTATCAGATTTCCTACAGTAATATGAAATCAGGATTTTATGCTTAAAAGGCACAACTGAATTTTTTATGACATGTGGATGCTGCAAAAAAATTATCTGAATGCACCGATTCCACAATAAACTCCAACTATAAGCACACCTACACCCAAGCATGCTTCATTTAACAGCAAACACAGAGAGCCTTGTAACCTAGCCAAGTGTGAATAAGGTTATTAATTATAAATAATTGGTTATCACTTTAAAAACATGTCTAGGATCCAAAGCATTAAATCTGAAGGCCACACTATTCATCTTGAAATGAAAAGCTGAAACTAGGCATATTTTAGTTAAATGTGCAGGGTTTTATGAATACTGATAACAGTTGTAGTCAAACAATGCTTTGTCTTTTCCAGAACATTACAAGGAAAGATAGATTTAAAGTGCTAATTGTTTTGAGGTGTCTCATGGGAAGATAATTGTTGATTAACTATTATTAATTCTTTAGCAGCTAGCATGTGGTCCAATAATTCTGTATAAAGCAGGCTTCCTCAACCTCGGCCCTCCAGATGTTTTTGGCCTACAACTCCCATGATCCCTAGCTAGCAGGACCAGTGGTCAGGGATGATGGGAATTATAGTCTCAAAACATCTGGAGGGCCGAGGTTGAGAAAGCCTGGTATAATGGGTGAGAGTGGGTAAATAGTTGTCATTGCTCCTTTGCTTTGGAAAACCAACTTTCAACGCCAAATGTGAATAAAAAGAGCAATTAAACAATGATGGTCTAGATTAAATATGCTTTAATCCAATGCACTTTATTTCTAAACACCAAAATCCTCTAGGCCACAGCACCAGAGTTAGTTGTAATGCAATACTGCAGAGTCCCTACCAAGCAAGGCAGTCCTCTTACCACAATGGGAAAGGCCATGTTAAAAATGTATTTTGTTATGGCCTTCTTGAAAGCCAGAACCAAAAATCAAACAAATGCTAACTGGAAGACAGTTCCATTATTGCAGAACCATCACAGCAGCATACACACAGGGAAGTCCTCAAACACAGACCTTTGATTACAAGACCTGGCTTGGGCCTTACTTCCCGTTGTACTACTACAGTTAAATCATTTCAAAAACTTTTCCACAGGCCAGACTTCTTAAAACCTACTCAGAGTTGTTGTTCTACTGATACAATTACCTACACTGCACAAGTAAAAACTAAAACAGTGAAGCTACCTGGAGTAAGGTATCATGTAACCATACATGTTCTTTGAATTAATTCAAAGTAAATACCTACAGACCAGATATATCCCCACACAGCAAAACAGGAACGGCTGTAGGTGATGTGTATTTTTGTGCAATTCAGGATTTGCTTCCAAAACTGAAAATGCATACACCATGGCTTTCTCAGCTCCCTTCTCTTCTACTAAGGTACTGAAGAAAAGCTCAAACACACACACACATTCCTCAACAAAGTGTGTTTGGCAAGTTACTTGGTCTTGAAATTAGTCAACCAACAGCAGGGTGGGGATTGTATTTAAATAAAATGCTGGTCTCGTTTTTGGCCTAAACGCAAACGAGCTCAATGACCTACATACACAATGTTATCAAGGCAGAAAGTAAAAAGAACTAGCAGTGTTTTAAAGTCTGGAAGCTTTCAAATGCCGATGGTCTTTTATTCAGCCTCCTGCACGTTTGCTGAGAAATTAAATTCCAAGTTTTTACTCCCAAGTAAGTATGCAAAGGAACTTGAGGCCGCAGATATTCGCCGAAAAAAAAGCTCACAATGGGAGAAGCCCGTTACCAAATGTGTGTGTACCATCAGCCCCAACCACCATCGACTGCCGCTGCTGCTGTTGCATTCCAGAAATAGGCATTCGGCCATTTTCTCAAATACCAAGTAGAAGCACAAAGCAGCTCTCTTTGCAAAACTCTTGCCTGCAGCGCACCACGCACAAACTCACCGAAGTCGGTGCTGCTGCGGGGGGGGGGAGGGGGTTGCCTTCGCCTCGTCAACCCACTTCGCCCCCCCTTTCCTTCAACCTTAACCCCCCCCCAACTACCACCCCCGCCCCCCAAAAAGTTACAACTCTCCAGCAACTTTATAAAGAAGGGGGGGAAAGTGAGCGAAGGCGAAGATTTGCCCAACTTCCTCCCCCCCAACACTCCCCCGCCCCCCCCAAGAGAAGGAGGGCTGGGGCCTTTTCCTTTCTCCCCCGAGACCTAAGCAATGCAGCCTAGTGCGTGGGGGGGGGGAAGATTTTGTTGCCAGGTTGTTCTGCAACGTCTCCCTCCCCCTCTCCCCACCGCCGACCCCCCCCCCAATACATACACATGCAACTTCCCACGGAGACACGCCACGAGTCTCCCTGGACTCAAGTCGTTCCCTTCGAGGGTGGGGGCGGAGAAGGAAGCTGGGGGAAGGACTCAGTAGGGTGGTAATAGGTTGGCGATGGCGGCGGGGGGGGGGAGAGAGTTGAGAGAGTTAAGTTCCGTACTTTCCTCCTCCAAGGAAAACGTGGTTGGGGGTGGGGGGCTGGGGAACGTGACCCGAGGCCCACCCGACTTCCACCCGCCGCCGCCCCGTATTGCTGAGGGTGGGGGACGCGCGAGCCTTCCCTTCGCCCCATCCATCCCTCGGCACCGGAGAGCGCAAGGTCACCGCGCGGCGCACAAAAGCGGCAACTCACGGCGAAGAGGCCCAGCGGCGGGGGAGGGCCAGAAATCGCTGTCCAGCTCCACCGCGCAGGGCGGCGGCTGAAGCTGCGGAGGCCTCGTCGGCTCGCTCTCGGCCCGGGAGGGCGGCGGCGAAGGCGGCTCCTCCCCGCCAAGCCTTCCTTCCGGCCACCGGGGACTAACGGCCGTTGGTCTTGGCGGTGGCGGCGGAGAGGCTGTTCCTCGGGGGGGGGGGCTCCTCCGGCGGCTTCCTTCCTGAGAGGCCCCTCAGCCTGCCTGCCTGCCTGGCTTTCCCCCCCGCCCGGCCGCCCTCACTCCACCCACTCCGGCGACGCCGTCCCATGCGCAGCAGCAGCAAGCAGCCGCCCTCAGATCAGCCCTGGACAGCGCCACAGGCTCGCTCCCGCTCCCCGTCCTCCTTCCCTCCCAACGCCAGCAGCACCACCAACGCGGCGGCGGCGGCGGGGCAACTCACCGCCTCTCCTCCGAGGCCAGAGGGGGCGACGACGGCGGCGGCGACGAGCCTCCCCTCAGCGCCGAGACGAGCGGGCGGCGGCGCGCATTCCAGCACTCACCACGCGCGTGGCAACGGCAGCCACGGCGAGCGAGCGAGGAGGCCCGCCCAAGCCGAGGCACTTATTGCCCCGGTCCCGCCCCTTTCCGCATGGCGCGTCCCCTCTTCTCCCTCCCCCTCCTCACAGCGCCTCGTTAGGCCAGGTCACGCTTAGGCTGCCTCACGAGCAAGGCCTGGCGGAGTGGTGGTAGCGGCTGTGTTGTAAGAGCACCAGCCAGCCGTAGCTTGTGACTCTGCCAGGTTGTTTCGATAACTTGCCTCGTTTTGTGTTAGTCCCAGACAAGCAGCTGGAGGAGGTTTATCGAGGGGGTGGGGGCGGTGTAGGCCCTGAGTTAAGGCACTTCCTCTTCTCCTCACCCAAGATTTACCACAGTCCCTGTTTTTTTGGCCTCCGTTGGTTCGTTATCTACCACCTCAGAAGAACCTACTTAATAAAAACAAAAATTCCTTCCAGTAGCACCTTAAAGACCAACTAAGTTAGTTCTTGGTATGAGCTTTTGTGTGCATGCACACTTCTTCAGATACCAATGCACACGAAAGCTCGTACCAAGAACTAACTTAGTTGGTCTTTAAGGTGCTACTGGAAGGATTTTTTTTTGTTTTGGTTTTTTTTTTTTTTTACTATGGCAGACCAACACAGCTACCTATCTGTAACTACTTAATAAACACATACAAAAAACACACACACTGTTGACTCAAGAGACTCTCACGCACAGGAGCACTCACTGAGCCCCTCAGACTTGGAAAACTGCAAATGGAAATTTCTCTCATCATGACCAGCTTGTAAAATAAGGAGTGGTGTTGAGGTGATGAGATTTAGGCTGGTTTGGGGATTCTTAGAAATGCCCAACCTCAGTGCATGCGAAAACTGACCCTGTGCCATAAATCACTAATTATTCAGGCAGCCTGTTCCTCAACAATATGGAAGGCACTTTCCCCGCCAAAGATTCAACCTGTTCGCTTTCTGTTAAAATAACACTCACACAGACTGTTCTTGCAATCTTCTTTGCAGGCAGAGCTGGGAGAAAGCTCCGTTTAATATGGATCTAAGCAGGGCTTTTTTCAGCCGGAACCTCTCAGGCAGGCGCCATTGCTGTTATAAGAGAACGAGGGAGGCATTCGTGGTGAGTTCTGGCACCTCTATTTCTAGAAAAATAGCACTGGATCTAAGCGAACATATTTAAGATTGTGCTGCACAAATGTTAAGGCTACAGCTCCTTCGCACCAATGGGATCTTCCGTCCCATGTAAACAGCAGTGGTGGGACCATACCTGTCCTCAAACAAATTGCCCCCCCCCCTGGCTTTTTAATTTTTTTAATTACAATACATAATTAGTGTCATCTCTATATTTGCCTTTGGAGCTTTCCCTTGAGCGTGGTTGATGGGGATTCATTCACCAACTTCAAGTGAGACAGCCAATGTAAACCTGAGAAGTCACACTGAGCTTAATATGGATTACTGCGGATTAAATGTGCATAATTTTGCATCTCAAATCTGAGTCAGGAAGTCTGTCCTTCATTACTATCCTGGATGAACATATGCAATCCAGGCTGATTTCAACCATCGTACCTTATAGGGTTGTTTACCTTATAGGGTTGTTGTAAGATACATTGAGAAAATATGTCCAAATCACCTAGAACATTCTAAAGAACTAGATAAAATGCTAAGTGATATAAATAATTTTGACCAACTTTTTCTGAAGCTAAGAGTTTTTGGATGCCGTTGAGTCAGCTTCTTAAATCCTAGAGGAGAGCAAGGCAAGCAAAAATGCTGAGGGAACGAGGGAAAGAAACAGTGTGGGAAGTAACACAGCAGAGACTGGGGAAATGAAAGTTGGGGCTTAGATATGATTGCCAGATGTCTCAAGGCCTAGACTCGAGGACAGACTTCTGGAGTGAGACTTGGAAGTATTTGTATGTTTTAAGTTATTAATTCTCATCTGATTTCCAGATCAGGATCTCATGGTCATACTTATATGCTATATATTATACTTGCCTTTCTTTACTATACAGTGGTACCTCAGGTTAAGTACTTAATTCGTTCCGGAGGTCTGTACTTAACCTGAAATTGTTCTTAACCTGAAGCACCACTTTAGCTAATGGGGCTTCCTGCTGCCGCCGTGCCGCCGGAGCACAATTTCTGTTCTCATCCTGAAGCAAAGTTTTTAACCTGAAGCACTATTTCTGGGTTAGCGGAGTCTGTAACCTGAAGCGTATGTAACCCGAGGTACCACTGTATTTATAAAGGCTGTCCTATAAAATAACATTCTCTGGAAGTTTCACTAAAAATAAAATGCAACATAATAATAAAAAAGCATTATCCTTGTTTATTTCCAGCAGAGGAAGAAATAATACCACTTGGCAGCACGGCCATAAATCAAATACTGAGAACGGGGTAGTATTCAGCTAGGTTTTACTCATAGTTAGTCCCGATTAGATTATTTAACATGATTATCAGAGAATCATAGAAAAGTAGAGTTGGAAGGGACCCTGCGGATCATCTAGTCCAACCCCCTGCAATGCAGGAATATGCAGCAATGCAGAATGACATAGCTGTCCCATATGAGGATCAAACCTGCAACCTTGATGTTATTAGCACCACACTATTATGTTAGGTCCATTAATTTCAGTGGATCTGCTCTGAGTAAAATTTAGTTGAGTACCACCCTCAGATTTTAAAACCACAAGTTGTTTAAAAAGCCCGGGTGGATTAAAAGGACTACATCTGGCAGTGAAAAGGCCATAGAGAAGACATTAGGTGAGCTTCTCTTGGGATGCTAGTCCACATCTGGAATGCCACCATCGAGACGGCCCTCTCCTTGTAATAAATAATAAACAAGACACCTGCCTTGTTTCACTTGGCGGGATGCCAAGACTCTTAAAAGTAGAGTCTTTTAAGAGGATCTCAAGATTTAGATAGATGTATGCTAGAAAAGATGGACGTGGGTGGCGCTGTGGGTTAAACCACAGAGCCTAAGACTTGCCAATCAAAAGGTCGGCGGTTCGAATCCCCGTGACGGGGTGAGCTCCTGTTGTTTGGTCCCAGCTCCTGCCAACCTAGCAGTTCGAAAGCATGTCAAAAGTGCAAGTTAGATAAATAGGTACCGCTCCGGCGGGAAGGTAAACGGCGTTTCCGTGCGCTGCTCTGGTTCGCCAGAAGCTGCTTAGTCATGCTGGCCACATGACCCGGAAGCTGCCTGCGGACAAACGCCGGCTCCCTCGGCCCATAGAACGAGATGAGCGCCGCAACCCCAGAGTCGGTCACGACTGGACCTAATGGTCAGGGGTACCTTTACCTTTTATGCTAGAAAAGACTACTGTATCTGTCAGGTAGCCAGGCTCCAAGCTGTTAAAGATTAGGACCAGCACTAATGGACCTAATAATTGGGCCCACTAATGGACTAGGGGCCAGTGCATCTGACAAAGCATTGATGCAATATGGCCAAAACCCCAATCCCAGTCAATAATCTCATCACACTATTTTGAACCAACTACAGCTTTTGGACAATTTTGATACAACACATTGTAATATAGGAGCAGCTATCTCCATCCAAGTATGGGCACAGCTTGATCACCTGTGTCACTGTCCTACCACAGAAAGGGAAAGATATAAATACTAACATGATGGGGGGGGGATGGTGGGTTAAGCTCTGAAAAGAACGAGGTTGAGGAATGAATGCTGGAAATAGACTCCAAGGAAAACCTCTGGGCCCCTTTCTCCTTGGGATTAACTTTTTCCCTAAACTGAACCCTTCCCTAGCCTAAGGAGGTGGCTAAAATCCTAACCAGTTCCAATCCTGAGATCCGGCAACCATTCAGTTAAGAAAAGGTATAAGGAGGCAAGAGGTCCAGACCAAAGAGTCAGGATTAAGAGGGAAAAGAAAATTTAGAAAGAATTAGTAGAGAAAGGAGAGGAGTACACAGTCAGGAGCTGTTGAGTTGAGAAATCATATACCTATTTGAACTAACCAGGCATGTTTTTGGCTGTGAGCCAAAGTATATCAAGGATTCTGTAAATACTTTTGAGAAATGCTAAAAGGAAGCTCAGAGAAATTTGGCATGTGTGAGGGAGTTACATTTAAATGAGTATGGTTTGTTTTCATCCACTGAAGTATGGGTCTGTTGAACTTGTTGCCCAATCATTTATGTGAGCTGGAGATCCCATTTTTAGAACAAAAGTGCTATCTGATGAGATGCTAAATTGTGACCCCCAGCTGAAGTTGACACCCTCAGGCACTTTTCTCCCACCCTGCAAATTAAAGGTTGTTTTGCAGGCTGTTGTTTTGCAGCGAGGAATTGTTTCTGTAATGGGAAGAGCCAGGTGGGGGCATAGTTGCTGGGTTCTTCAGCTGGATATAATTTCACCACTTCATTAGGCTGTGAGTACATTTTCTAATATTTTTGCAGGTACTGAATGGTTCGTGCATAGCTAGCTTTCCTTGACAGTGCAAAAGCTTGGGTGTTTTTATTAAAGTAACAGGGTACCTTCAAAAAGTGTGTTATGTGGCCTGGGGAGGGGTTCTGCTTTTGAAAAAGAAAGTAAAAAATTCCACCAGGCACTCCCACTCCAAGCCCTTAGGCTTATCTATAACAGCTCTTTGGATCCCAGACTGTTTGCTATAGTTTGAGATGTAGGTTTTCAATTTACTTGAATGGCCACAAAAACATGCAACCTAGTCTGTATATCTTTTGCATTTTTAAAATATCCAAACCTTTTAGGCAGTAGAAATTACAGCATTTTATTGTTTTCCTTGATCTCAACCATTCTTTCA